CCTGAGATCTCGAAAACGAAGCAAGATAGCGACAAGCGGTAAACGGCATCGGATACGCACGGCCAAGATCTACAATTTTTACAAAGGTCATTTTCAGGTCAGGTCAAAGATGACGTCACAGGGGTCGAAAAAGTCAAAATGGCGGCGCTAGATATGGAGAGAGTTTTTCTCGAATAACTTTCGAATTAGTCAAGATAGGAACAAACTAAGGGTATCATCGTGATCCTCTCGTCAATCCGCATCGAATGATATATATGTTGACCTCGAAAGGTCAAGGTCAAAGGTTGACCTCAGGTCACGTGACCTCGAGGTCATCATGTATATCATTCGATGCGCCTTGACGAGCTGAACACAATGAGACCATCCACGCGTCTGTATCTTGTTCCTGTACGGAGTTATTGGCCAAAAACCTTTGGTGACCTTTGATGACGTCACATGACCTCACAGCTGCCCAACAGCAAAACAGACCTCAAGGTAGTGAAGGTTGATCGTATATGAAGTCATGTATGGTATATGGGGCCATTCCGACCCGTTTTAGTGTTAAAAACAGGGAGTTGATTTTTCCCCCATTGACTTATAATGGGGAGGTCGCGAAATTGACCTGACCTTAGGTCACCGATATCAAAATTCCGAGATATACAAATTGTAGCTACTAATGACCTAATAATATCCTGCGACTTTCAAAGGCCTCCGACATCTACTGTAGCTCTGGCACGGTGACAAAGTTGCAAAAAACTGACTTGAGGTTGGGTCATTCAAAGTGACCTGGTGACCTGACCTTAAAAGGTAGGAAGTTTAAACTTGCACACCATGTGTAAAATTGATGAGGTTATAGTCATACCAAATTTTGCGGCGCTACGCGCCGCGGTTTTCCCGCTATTCGCGAAAAACCTCAGGGGGGGGCGGATATCCGCCCCCCCCCCCGTCGGTGCGCGGGTTAATAAGTCATTGTCAAAAACTGTTAACCCTCGCCGGCACAGGCCATTTTGCGTCCTTCGACGGCACAAGGGGAGCGGGGGGGGGTACAACCCCCCTCGCGTTTCGCCCCTGATCAAGCTAGAGCTTTATGGAAAAAAAAACGAACGTGTTGCCCGTCACGAGAGGAAACCAATTATATCCCATTTTTAACCCTCGCATGTGTGCGGCGTTTGCCAGCTTCTAACGTGTGTGTGTGGGGGGTCGGTTGGACCCCCCCCCTTGCCGTTTGGCCCCTGATCGAGCTAGAGCGTCGCGGAAAAACGAGCGTGTTGCCCGTGACGAGAGATAGCCGATTATGCCCAATTTTAAGGTTCTAGGTCATTGGTTGAGTGTCGCTGCTATGGTTTTTTTTTTGGGGGGGGGGTGCTGATCACGAATATCGTGTTACTTTTGATCACAGATGATGTCTTTAAGCATTTAGACCAGGTCAGGTCAGGTCAGGTCAGGTCAACCAGTAGGGGTCGTGACGGATATTCGTAGCACCTGTCAACCGCCTCTGACAACTTCGTAACATGTTACGAAGGCACCAAAACTACTTCGTAAATGTTCAAATGCTTTCTAAATTCGAATTCATCTCCAAAAACTAGCCTAGAAACATATAAAACTCGAAAAAGTGAACCGAGGTCACCAAAGATCAATGACCTGACCTGACCTGACCTTCAGGTGACCTTGCCATTCACCCTATTGCATGGGAGCAACACCAAATCACATGTATGAACGTTTGAAACCACGAAAAGCTTGCAAACGCGCGGCTAATGCGAGCCGACAAACGCCGAATCGCGCTTCCGGCCAAACATGGTCTCGGAAAGTAGATCACATGTCAACGGTCATTTTGGTCAGGGTCATGAAATTTGCAGGGTAGATGTGAAATCGATCAATGCGAGGGTACTGAAAGTTTTGTCGCAATCGGCTGCTTTTTACGCGAGTTATTCGCGAGAAGCCTTGGGTGGGGGGGGGGGGTGCATCAACTTCCCCCCGTGCCGGTGAGGGTTACGGAGACGTATCATGATGTGAGATGATTTCAGGGGCATTAAATGGTCAAGAGTGGAATTTTGTGATTCGGTATGCCATATTCACCTGTATCCGGGTGCCATCGCTAAAAAAAGGAGCATTTTGACCTGCCTATGATGTGACCAGGTGTCAACAATTCCAGACACGATACGAAATTCATAAGTTGTGCCAAGTTTTGCGTCGCTGTGCGCCGCAGTTTCCGTTACAGACACACACAAACATTGGCAAGTGTGGCCAAACACCCCCCACCCACCCCCCCCCCACCCCACCCGGGAGAAAATAAACGATATAAATTGCTATAACTAATCTCACTGAGCTAAATGCGATCGTGACCACTTACAAGCATCATATTCGAGTCGACACAGAAAGACCAGCGATTCGCAGCAGGCACCCTAGCCACAGATATGTGAGCGATAATGCAACCAGCGCGGCGCGTCCCTGACTCGGTCAAACGCGTCTGTAACGAGTGTGAGGCCAGAGAGATATACTGTGCCGCTGAGCCTGGGTGTGAGGCGGCACAGTCTACCGTTGAGGCCAGAGGGATGTGCTGTGCCGCTGAGCCTGGGTGTGAGGCGGCGCAGTCTACCGCTCCAGTCAAACGCTGGGCCGTCGGGGGGCGAACATCACTTAGTAGGTGAGTGTACAAGTGTACGGTATATGTATTTCCAATGCTGATGTTTTCCTTTCGAACTTGCTTTAAATAGCGTGCGTGCCAGCAGGAGCGAACATAGTCAAGGCTTCATGCTGCCAGTTTGCGCAATGTCCCATCATTCAAACGGTGCCTACGGCGAACCCACACGCTTTGACCTGGGCGCACGTAAAACACTAATTAATTAGTTCCGATTACAGGGCTAACCTCGCTATAATTAATGTACGTGAGACACGAAATGTGACACGCATGATCCCTGACATCATGTATGCCTCTACCTCTCACCGAGAACTAAAAAGCGTGTGACCTTTTTCTCATAGGAGGTTGGTGTCGCATGTAGACTGGCAGCATTTCATGTAAGGCCACAGGAATCATGATGATGCGTCCATGTACCGCTATTCGACATTCCACCCCGGTACTAGATGTTGTGGCAGGTTATTAGCACGTCTCCGTCTGTAAACTAGCACTGTGAGATTCCTGGGTCACAGATATGGGAACAGGCATGCCATCGGCGCGGTCCGACCACTAAAACATGTCAGATGGGAATCCTACCGCGTTCTCGTCGCGCCTAATTAGTTTGAACCTTCGGCAAGAATGGGAAGCCGCAGTACAAAACGAACCAGCTTTCAAGGAGTCGAACAATGACGGCCGATGTGTGTAGAGGACCACTGCTCCCTTTAATCGAAGGCTAAGAGCGGAAGCATGCTTCCGTATAGTTAATGCATGACTTGGCGAGACCTACATATAGCTGACATCTGACACACAGCCATGAATAATTATCTGTTATGTTGAATACTCACGACACAGACTGCCTATACCTATATGCGCCATATCAGGCCACACACGATATGACATGGGCCTTGGCCTATATCTGTATGCAGGCCGGTAAACCACAATCGTGAACAGTTCAGCCCGACCAGTATCGATGTTATCGCACTCTGGTTTGTGGTTAGTGAATAACCGGCGCATTCGAGACTCCATGATATGAGTTCCGGTCAGGTACACGCCAGAGTAGTTTCGTCCTGGAACGAAGTCAGGTCATTTGCGCAGAGCTGAGGTGAGGTGGTTCTAAGAAGCAAAGTCGGTTTCCGAGTATCGTGTTTGCAGTGTTTGAGTATCGGCTTTGGACCTTAACGCCAACTGAAGACAAAGCTCGTGATCATTAGCGGTTGCTCATTGACAAGCGCTAAATCGTTTTTCTTTTACTTGCATGGAAATCAGAACTATTTTCTTCATGGTTGGAACTGTAATATTGAATTACGATCCACGAAAGCATACGATAAAAGGATCAAAATGAATAATAATGATATGGTTTAGCATTTAGTGTCAATAGTTTCAAATGCAAGTAAGAAGGCACTGTACCAAAAGAAGGCAACGCAAAAGTGAAATAAAAGGTTGTTTTTTAATCAAAACTTCGTTCTCAAGTAGTAGTTTCAAAAATCTTAAGGTGCAAAAGGCTTCTGAAATGTCCAAGATTCTACAGTGACAGATAATAGAACATACTGACTCTACGAAATCAAAGTCTCATGTACCGTTCGGCTCTGCTCTGATCAGCATTGCCCCACCACGTTACCCGTTCCCGGCGCCCGTGGCGTCAGCAGACGGACAGCTGTGGCTTTCAGCACGGCCGACCGACCGCCTGTTGAACACGGTGACTGGCAGCTTGATACCGTCAGCAGTCGCCCTGTCATGCAGTGCCATGGCGAAAACCAGCCACGAGTGTTTGTTCTTACAGGCAGACATGTGCTCGTGGATGAATTATGTAACTTTTGGGACAGCGCAGTTGCCGTAAATCTGCCATGTCGGACGCGAAGGTGATCGTACGGTGTCGGCAATCGCGCAGCGCCGCGTTCCGGCAGAACTGGCAATCTTCAATCTGTTTGCTAACATGACTCAGCAGGACAAAGCTCATTTAAACCAGGAGACCGGTCACAAATACGAGCGAAACTTTAGCTTCCCACCTATCCATTCTCAACGCACCATAATCCCTGATTATCCCACTGTGGCTCAGCCACTCCTCAGGCAAATCCGTGCAATATTTATGCCTGGCACATATCTCTGTTGGGCAACAATCGATGCGTCAAGGCGGTCTCCGAGCGCCACTTTCGCCTCGATGCGGCGATGGCGGCACACCGTCCTCGCCTCGGGCTCGAGAGGAGCAGGCCGACCGGCCGGGTGGTCCGCCGACTCAAAGAGATAGAGGGTTGATAGAGGCAAGCGATCCTATTCATCACCTAATGTACGGGGAACAGTAATGGCAACTCGACAATTGTTTTCGCAGCATAACGTGCGGTAAGACTTAATTTAATTCCGGTTCAAGTTAAAATAAATTGATACTGTCCGTCACCTGCCGTTTACTCACCCTCGGGCGGGTTCTCCTCGTCAGTAGGGTCCTCGGCGCCGTCCAGACTGACGAAGCGGTACTCGTTCAGGTACTCTATGAAGTCCTGGCTGTTGAACGTCTCGGTGTCGATGGTGTCCTGCAACACGAAAATATAAGACCTGAGGCAGAGTTTTTGGAAACATTGCGGTCCCTGTCAGTGTACTGCCCAAAGGCGTGTTGTTTTGACAAATAATAAACATTTGGTTCCCGTAAAACGGTACACGGGCACCGGTGAGATCACCGGCGAGTTCCCGCGTCAATAAACAACAATCTGCGGCACACAAACATGCCCTCGGGCGGCGGATGAGACGCGCCGGAACAATGCCGCCGGTGCGCCACAATCGTGTGGGAACAATGGCTGCGCTCCGGCGACGACAGGCCACCTCGCGTCCCGCGCACCTGGGCGGTAACGGTGATGGACAGACGGACGGACGGATCGGGCCGAGCGACTGAGCCCCGTGGCCAGGGACCCGGCTCCTTGTGTTCATTCAGAGCAAGCACCACGAGTCCGGAGACGCCTAAAGCGAATATTTTCAACTAAAGGTATCTTAGCCAGCCATGTGGAAAATTCACACGAGGTATTGCATTAGGTAATTGTGAAGTTATTCAATTTCATTCAAACACTGATTGCGCAAATCCTAGTCAAACAGAGGCTTGGCAGGCAAACACTTTTACCGTGGGGAGACTTGAAAGGGGAGACTTGAAAATGAAAGGGGAGACTTGAGCATGAATGCTGATCATCGAGTACTAAGTCAGTGAATGCATTTATCATCAAGAACAATGTTCAATGCTCATGGTCCGTCTTCTGCAGTCCCTCACGCGCTCACAGGATAGCGCAAACAATGAAAGTGCTTGCCAGTTCTGTCTCGGCATTGTAATGCAAACTATGCATGCAGTCTATCCCCGTCGCGGAGACGTGCGTCTGCATTCACATCTTCGTCACGTGCCTCGGCGGAGAGGCCATCCGTTGGTCCAGTCGGCTTCATGCTGATCACGTCTCGCGCCAGTGAGGGCGCTTCAGCCGCCTGAACGTGCAATGTCTACAGGCGTGAGAGGGCGAGCGGGCTAACACCTGCCGGGCCCGGTCGGCCATTCTTCCACACGATTTGTACCGTGGGATGGCCGATGAAACGGACACCACCGACGGCAAGGAACTGAGCGCAGTTAGCACACCATCGCTGCATGCAACGACGTGAGCTGGACGAGCTTGCGAGCTGCATATTACAATAAAGTGAATGGCGATGTTACTACAGGGCAGTCGATGAAAGTGACATGCTCCCGAACATGGCATGGGAACGAATTGACCGATGGATCAACATAAGACGGCCTCTCATGCATATCATAAATACTACGGTAGAATAAATAGGTAGCTCGCGGTAGAATACCGAAGTCGTCCTTCGACGATGGGATAATTGACCCTTCTCGGAATAATTGTGTTCTACCGGTGAGCGTTTGATGCACCTGTCAGCATTGTTATCCCTTCCTTCACTGTCGACAGCGAGCCATTTGCTCGTCATAAACTAATAGAGTAGAAGAACTGAACCAGAACGCTCACCGCGGCTGAGACAATAGCTCTTTACGTCTCGGGGGTTACACGACCTCTCCGAAGACGAGTCATAAAGCTGGCATCCTGATTAGCCGTGTCCTGCTGCTTTAAGGAGCCGGCGTCCCGCAGGAGGCCTTCCGGTGTCCATTACCTCACCTCTGCCCGGGGGAGGTGACGGGCGAGCGACCTCGCCCGGTGTGTGTCTGTTACCCAACCGGTCAGTGCCGCCGTGCCGAGCTCCGTCTGCCGGCTGACCAGCTGCGTTGCCAAATTTACGACGGTGACTGTGTGTGGCCGCGGCCCGGCCGGCGGCTGTGTGCTGAAACTGACTGCCTCTCGCCCGGTCACCGGCCAGAGGCGTGGATTGAGCGGACGGCGCCGCTCCCGGGGACGAGAGAGGGCGGCTCCCAAGGTCGGGCGAATATCCGCTCCATCACGGGATATGGACGAGGGATGCACTTCTCGGCAACGCCAGCTCTATTCCCAGCTTTTCTATGGTAACGCTAGCTTCACACTCGGCGCCACAGACAGGTGTGAATTCTGCATTCTCTACAAGTCGCATACATACATGCCACTGTGTGTTAATTGTGGTCCACTACATATAGTGGACCACACACTCAGTGAATGCACCTAAACAGCCTCCCTGCCGGTAATGACTACACGCACCCCAGCGCCGCTCTGCCCCTCACTTGTCGTTTCGCTGCGCGGTGGATCCACCCCTCGTGCACCGACCGAACCGTGGCAGCCACCGTGAACCCGTGAACTGGCGCACATTTTGGCACAAAGCCGGGACGCTCGGCAGCCGTTCCGCCTCGATTACGCCGGCTGGACCCGTTCACTCCCATCATAACCGCAATTCGATGTAATCAAATGAAACCGGGTCCAAAAATGTCCCACCAGTCACGTGTGAATCCATCGACGGGCCACCACGAACTAAACAAAAAGAAACCCCCGCTGTGGTAACAGCGAGAAAGTCAGAAAGCAGTGATTTCGTAAATCATAACTCTGTTCACCGACCTGTTACGCTTACGGCCGATTTACTATCAGAAGCAGCGAGCGGAAAGCTAGTCAGTTTGTGGCGCAGCCGGACAAGAGAGGGTGAGAGCTGAGTCAAGTTGTAGAGAGAGCCAACAGCGTAACGCGACTGCAACGCAACGCCTTGTGACGTTCTGCGCGGTACTGGGTGACATGACGTGTGACGCACGGGATGATGTACCGTGTGAGACTGCGTGAAGCTGTGTAATGATGGGTGACTATGAGTGACTTGCATGGCGTCTTAGACGTTCGAGATGTTACAGGAATCATGCATGTTACGCCAAAAAGAGTGTTTGAACTGACCTGAGAAACTATAGGAAGGTATGAAGAGATAGGCGCGTGTGAAAGGTTTTACAAATGGCGGGCCTCAAGAAATATATAGGTCTAACGTTAGCTATAAAAAGTAATAAGAATGACCAGATAAAACTTTAGCGATACATAAAGCCGAGGTAAAAAGATATAAATAGTAATAGATTCTACAATTTACTGTGTTCATGTAGCAACGATGTTAGAGCTGATCCGAAACAGTTTGCATAACGCGAGCGATGCTATTTTCACGGTATACAACGGCGGCAACAGTGTTAATAACAGAAGAAAGTGACAGTAAAGATAACAAAACCGATGTAAGCCTTTGTTCTACTTTATAGGTACAGCCACGCACATTGGTAAACATTGTGTCACCGCTACGCTGGGTGCGTCAGGCATTGGTCACGCTTTCGAAGGTGATATGCAAACGCAATTATACCCAGCAGACACTTTCATTCAAATTGGTGTCGCTTGCCAGCACCCATTTGCAGGCGCTCGTCAAAGCCCGGTATTATCAAAACATAAAACAACTAGAATGTATCTGAAGACAGCCCATTTACTGCAAAGTGCATATCTAAAGAAAATGACTATTTCATTTTAAGTCTGCATGAGCTACCATGATGAGTTATCATTGATTCAAATATTTCTCCTGTTTTCACATAAAAACACGCATTTGAGCAAAGTTTCTCATCGACCAGCAAGAGACAATGACCGTTTTGGTAGTCAGACCACCGAGATTCGCAGCAAAAAGTAGTCGTTAAAATGCCATCTACCTCACTGGGGCTCTGCCATGCGAGAAGCACTCCTTCCGATTTTCAATGAATATGACGGCGGTTTTCGGGCTGAGAGAGCACCTGCACGGGCTGCGTCTCCGTGCGGTGGGAAGGAGCGGTGCAGGCGCGGCGCCGGGGGCGCGGCGTTCCGGCCGCTGCGCCGCCGCACGTCTCTCCCGCGCCACGTGACGGCACCGTGACGGCCCGTGACGGTGCCGTGACGCGAGCGATGCCGCTCGGAGAGTGCGTGACGCGGCCATCGGGACCAGAAAGCGAGGCAAACTCGGCGCGCTGCGGAGGCGCACTTCAAAGTGCAGCTGCCGTGACATTAGGTGAACTACAAAGTTATCAATAGAAAGAAACTGTTCCAGTTTATCTCTTTACAGAACGATGCTTCTCTGTGGCGCCTCAGTCGTAAAACGTCATATTCAAAAATGCTTACATGTTACACCTCTCCATCCACCGACTGTTTGTCTCCATAACCTGTGCTCGTCAACGCCAGTCTTGCCGTCCGTCTCTCCCCTAGTATCCGCCCGTTTCCCAGCCGGTCCGTTATCCTTCGGCCCACCTTCCACCGCCGTGGGAAGGACCGGAGCCCCGCGCAGCGTAATCAGCTGGGTGTCACGCTGGCTGGCCCTCTGAATACACGCCACCTTCCGCCCACTGCACCGCCGCAGAGCCGGGGGCATTCGGGCCCAGGCGAGCCGTGTCAGAACGGTTGAGATTACTCCCTTCCCCGCTTCCCTTCCTCGGCAGTTGAGAGTCGGAGCGTGTAAGATTCCGGACACAGCGAGCAAAACGAGATAAGAGAAAAAGCGTCATATACCTATGTAGGGCCAGGCACGAGGTGAGCTGTAGGGTTCATAATGGCGGGTGCAGATTTGGACGTGGCGCGGAATAACTAGTGAGCGCCGGTAAGCCTGGGGCAGTGGGACACGTGACCATGCATATTTGTGAGAAGATGCGAACAATGAACATGAGTGAGCGTACATGATGAGTGATTCAAAGCGCAGGCTTCTGGTGCAATGGGAAAATGGGGACAAGGGGTTGATTTAGTAGTGGTGATACAGCATCGATGGGAGGGGTGTTATCTGTTATTTGTGGTTCCATTGTTATCTGTGTTAACTATGTGAAAGAGACGGCGAACACGCCCACTCGGCGCAGACCGGACGGGACAGGGCTTTCCTGTGCGGACGGACGGACGGACGTGTGGGAGTGGGCCGGCCGCAGCCGCGCACAGCTGGCGTCCCACCGCGGGCCGGCCATGTCAGTGGCCGTGAGTGGCGCCGGGTCGGCGACCACAGCTGTGTCGGTAGACCGCGGCGCCGCTCCTGACCTCAGGTGTTCGCGACTGACGGCCGGAGCGGCGCGGCTGTCTTACAGCGGCGCCAGTCACAGGGTCAGGTGCACACCGAGTATCTGCGACAGTGGCGTCACATAACAGCCAACAGTGTCACTGTCAATGGCATTACACCCAGCTCGGAAGAACAAAGTGTGAGGTCGGCGGAATTAATGCTGAGAACACCGGGCACAGATTGATGTTCCGATAACGGACTTAGGCCATTGCGGTCACTGGAATTGCCCAGCACCCACCACGCCGGAACCAAATCACACCCGCAAAGAAGCGCTGATAGAATGAAATGGGCGAGGGAGCCGTCTAGATGCGTTACTAAATTTAAGCACGAACAAACGGGATTGCCAGAGTCGAATTATGGGGAATTAAAAAAGTGCGCAATGACTAATGTGTCAACTGACATCAGTCCAACGTGTAGATGTCCAATCCCCATTATGCCATTCAGAAATTGAATCGTTGATTTAAGAGCGTCGACATTCGACTGCCGACAAAACAAATTTAACTTCAAACTGCTCTTTTTTGGGATATATTTTTTCCCCATAAAGAGCTGTTTCTGATGAGCACATCTCTCTCCAATCCCGAAATTACCGCGGTCCCGACGTCCGGCGGCGCTGGGTGGTGGCAGACACCCGCCTGAATCGCTAATCTAGTGAAAGGCGACACTAAACTCCAGACAGGCGACCGCTCACTCAGTCGCACCCTGCACAGGTGCCGGCAGCTGCAGTGTCAGAGCCAGACGCAATACAGGAGACAATCATCGAGCTTTAGTCAGAACGTAAACGGGATTTGGCAATAGCTAAGACGATGAGAAGCAAAAAGTGACATGAACGTAATGCCATTTCATGCATGAAAGCGAAGTAGAGAGTAAACTAAGAAAAATGCTTAAATTGCCTGTTTTTCCTCTCGAACATCTCATTGCATGTGCTTCTAAGCCTAGAAAAAAATTATTTTGTCCAAGATTATCGTTATAGAAAATTAAAAGAAAGAACTGAGTCGTTTTACATGTTCCTTGGATGCGCTTATTTACAGGGGCATTTTTATGCGTTGGTTATTCTACGTCAAACATCAAAATTAAGGCACTTACAAGTTCGGGCGAAGTTCAAATATTTTGAACTTGATTCGTCAGTATCTTACGGTCATAATTATATGGTCGTTGATATGTCATCTGTAATTGGGTATCGGCTATTATTGCAGAACGTGACCTTTGGCGATGCCGCGATAGGTAAGCGTTCTTCCTCCGCCGTGCTTTGGAAGAAATTTATTCGGTCAAGCCGAGTCCTGCAGACACAGCTCTGCCCGGCAGTCGGCAGATTCGGACGGCATGACGGGAGTCACAGTGTCATTAGTTGACTCAGCGGCACGGAACGGAGTCGCCGCGCCGGCTCCGCACCGGTCCGTCCTCTCTGGAGGGAGCGATAGAGGGACGGAGGGGGGGGGGCACCGCACCGGTCCGTCCTCTGGAGGGAGCGATAGAGGGACGGAGGGACACGCCGTCCTCTCTGGAAGGAAGCGGTGGGGAAGGAGGGAGGGAGAACAGGTCCATCCTCTTCGGAGGGAGGAATGGAGGGGCAGATCCATCCTCAGTCTGGAGGGGAGCGATAGGGACGCTTTCCAGAGGACCAGAGAAGGAGACAGGAGCACAAACCAGGTGAGGGACAGAGTTAAACAGTATGTACGGTTTGTCAGTGATCCAAAAATCAGGTGATTGCACCAAGACATCCTTCGGCGGACTGTCTGGAATGTCCCTTATGTGAACTCCTCCCCTTTTTCGCCTCGGTTCCTGAGTTCTCACGCTCACGGCTCAATTCTGCCAGCGCATTTTATGTATGTTTTTGAAGCATTCAAGCTGACTGTGTGCAAACATATTTACAGCTCTGGCTCATTTCTCAAGGCGGCATGCGATGCGAGTCCCACGCCGAGCTGATATGCCCAAATCGTTTAGTTTGCTTTTGGTAAAGCATACTACTGAACACAGTTTGTGCCGAATCAATTTGGTTTTCTGTATAACACAAACATAACATTTGGACACATGTCTCAGTGCTAACGCCGTGACATATCGTGGCAAATCTTGATTAGCGTTCGGCTAACGGCTTGATATATGTTTTGACATGGATGTGTGCCATATTGATACTAGCTATCGATGCTATCGCATGAGCCTCATTTTTCTTTTCTTTTTAGGTACATAAATGCAGCAACACAGGTAGTACATCTCAATTATAGAAACGTCTTTGAACTGCGAGGAAACTTATCTATTAAAAAAATGTTTTTTACGCGACCAAGCTAAACCTATTCTAGTACCTATAGAGGCACAGAAACGGAAACGGGCAGTGAAGCCAAGCACGAAGCCGAGATGATCCGCGCTCGTTATTCCGTTTCGCCTCAATCCGACAGCAGCTTTCCACACGGCGTTATCGGGTCCTGGCGGGCTCCACGGGTCATGATCGCTAGATGCATGCTAATCACCGGCGAAAGTCGGTTCTCCCGCGACCACCGCTGCGTCCAGCTGACGATGTTGTCGACCACCAATATCGAGGTCAGCTTGCCGATGGACGGCGGGCGCCACAGCTTTTTGTGCGGGAGTGGGAACTAGTGGATGCGGCCACAAACGCGCGAGGCAAAACATTAGTCGAGCCAACCAAGGAAAAGCCCATGGAAAGGATTACGAAAAAAATATTCTTAGACAAACTTGCAAGAGTTTGTTTAAAAACATACCGACAATTAACAAGCGTATCAGTTTGGTTGTGGTGCTACGACTGGAGCACACCAAATACCTAAATCACTGGTCGATTTTTAGTCGCATACATAGATGCCTTTTCTTCTCGTTATTACAAAAACTACAGCAAATTATTTTTAATTGAAACCATGAGGTTGAACGTTTAATGTGAAGCTGATGGGTCTCCGGCGCTCCAGCAGGGTTTAATTTTTGCGCCAATTAATACGTCACTCACAAGGCTATAGCCACCTCATCAAGAAATGACCCACATGATTGTAGCGGTGATTAATTAACGCTAAGTAGTAAGTATATACCGGTCTCGGTGAAAACAAAATAGACTTCAGATTGCCTTTGTGATAGAAGGATGTGGTAAAAAGGCAAACGCTATGCGATAAAGGATATCAAAATACAGGACAGACAGGACCAATGCCATTAGGTATTTATTTATAATCGTGGTGCGCTATGAGCAATACAGTTAATATTTGCCTCACTTTACTCCTGTCTGGGTATGGGAGTTCTACTCCACTCGTATTTGTGGTCGGACTCGAGGGAAACACCTGACCCCGTATCTTCCGCTATTGGGGATTGGGAGACCCATCTGACTAGAGATGTCAATCGGATACCAACTTTTTGGTATACCGATACCAAACCGATACCAACTTGGTATTTTGATTTGGTATTTCAATCGTAATGGGTTTGGTATTTTGTTGGTATCATGAGCCCTCACTAATGTATAAGAGGTTAAGAAATCGGTAAAAAGTAGGTATTTCCCTCATTTTCCCAAGTTGGTTTGGTTTCGGTATTTCCCCACGGTTTTGGTTGGTATTTGGTTTGGTATCGGTATTGCGATTTTCCATATTTGACACCACTACATCTGACCCTCTCCATGTGTGCACTGGGACCCGTGCGACTCCTTCACACATCTGTGCTCATGAGACCCACCTGACTTCTCTCCATGTCTGTGGCCGCGCGTGCCGGCCGGGCGGGGCCGCCCTTCGTCCCTGTTGTGACTCGCCGGTCGTCCCGTTAGCCTCCCGTCCCGTGCGCCGAGATGACCCGATTTCCGGCACCTGGACCCGGGCCGACCCGTCGCCGTGACCTGGTCAGATCAGGAGCGGACACCAGTGCAGCACATTTCGCACAGTACCGGCACGGTGCAGTCCCCTCCGCTGTCACTGCGGCAGTCGCGTCCCTCTGGTCACGTCACCTGTTCTCGCACACCCCTACCTTCCACGGCGCCGGCCGGCCGACAACTGACCGGCGCGCGCCGGCTGGAGCTCGACCCGGCCGGAGCCCGGCGCGGCGGGACGGGGAGAGTCGCGCGAGTACCTACTCTCTCTGACACCAGCACACCCGAGTGTCATCGATGAATACTGACGTACTATACGTGTCATGTGTTGATTTTTAGCATTATGGAAGAATGTCATAAGTGGTAGGTGGTATGGTAGATATTGGGTAATGTGCTTGTTCGTTTGTAAAATTACAAAAACTTCTAATACAATTTTTTTCCTATTGTATACAAAAACTACAATTTTTACAACATAATTTGATAATCATCCTACAATAACTTCTACAACATTAACATTTTTTACAATAACTTCGGCATTATTTATCTTACTAATTTTAGGCATTCATTTGTTATATTTATTTATTCGATGTCATGGAACAACAGGCAAATTGACGCCCAGTAACAGTCCAGAGCAATAACACATCACATTCGAAGAAGTGGGAACATTGTCTTTAGTCCACATCTCCTGCACATACAAACCCCTCGATATACCAACCATAACTATTACACAATCCATATGCTCACATGCATAGCACAATAAATAGGTACAGTCATGCACTACACATCAGAGTTCACATTTTTGTATACATCGTCTTACTTTAGCCCGAAAATCCCGCATTTAGTCGTGAAACAAATCTAAATCTGTAATCTGGAACATAAATTTATTTATAATATAATAGTCATGGGTGCCCTAACAAAAAGTGAACCTTGCACAGTGTCGACTCTCGCAAACGGTATATTCATTCATTGAACGGTACATCATTCATCCATTGAAGGAACCACGGGCTCCTTCAATCCTCCTTGTAATTCTTGGAGCAGCATACAGCGGAAACCGTGCCAAAAGCACATGTGAATCGAGGACTCCTTTGTATCGTTTTTCCACAGACTATCGTATTGATGGCGTCTTTTTCTGATTCCGTTACGTCAATGAACATCATTGGAGCAAGCGCGAGAATAATCAATATCGTTGTCTATGGTAGGAATGAAAAAAGTCATCTAAGTAGGTAAATATGGTAGGCAGGCAATGAGCTTGTTCGTTAATTTAACTACGATAACTACTATTTCAAATTGCATTCAATAGGTACGATTGTAATCATTGGCGCGGGAACTTCTTTCAGACGGGGGACCGGGGGGGGAGGAGGTGGGCACACCATGAATAGAGATCAACCTAGGGTACCTACAAGTCTAGTTTTATCACCGGTTTTAGGCCACTTATTTTCCATCCCTTGGCTTTCCAACAAAAAAAAACATTTGCAAAAAAGTGCGGTATTCCGTCTCAAAGTTGTGCAGGGCCGGGGGCACCGCCTCCACGGCCCCAAAGATGTGGAGGGAGGGGCAAGCTGGCCCAAATGCCCCCCCCCCCCGGTTCCCGTGTCTATGATTACAATTCCGAGAGATTGCCGAACTAGAAATTGGCAGTTTGGCCCGAGTAGGGGGGAGTGGGGCAAAACGGCCACCCTGGGCAAAGCAGCCACCCATCGTTTTAGCTCTCCACAGCTAGCGTCAGTTCCAATTTATGGTTTCCAATCATGCTTCTCTTCGCGGTCGTTCGAATGAGCCAGTCCAGGATGTCAGGCCCATCGCCATTGTTCTGTGAAACACGGAAAAAACATTTCTTGCAAGGTTACCAACTACCTATGCTTACAATTTCTAAATGTTATTCTATTTCACAACCATTTTGAATTTTCTATAGGTAAGCGTTCTGAGTCCATGCATTGCGTGGTTATCGTATGTCTTCCCAGTTTTAATACCTTTTACCTCAGTAATAGCTGAGCTGGAATATTTTTACAAAAACAAAAACGGTTTTAGGCCACTTATTTTTCATCCCTTGGCTTTTTCAAAAAAATACATTTGCAAAAAAGTGTGGTATTCCGTCTCAGAGCTGTGGGGGCATCGCCCCACGGCCCCAGAGTTGGGGGGGGGGGCAAGCCGCCCCCACTGCCCCCCCCCCCCGGCTCCCGCGCCTGTGATCAAAGTGGACACCGTGCCCCTGTGTCCCCCTCGTTCCGCCGCTGCTTGGCTGAGGCATATCTAGCAAACCGTGTATTCCGAAATTAATGAAACGAAATCCGCCGAATAAGCTCATGAAGATAAATAAGTCTGTCTCCATGAAGCGGCATTTTAGTTTAATTTCGATCAATGCCAGCACCAGATTGTTGCTGGTCTATCAATTAATTTTAGCTGCATTTTAGAGAGCCTATCTTCTTCACATGATGACCTTGGTGGGCGCCCACGTGCGTTTGTTTACGATTGCGTTTTGACTTTTGATTGCATTCGTGTTTGAGCTCGCAGCAGGCTTGAAGTGTGTTGGAAGAAGTTGGAAGTGTGTTGTTGGTGTTGGTGGTGGTTGTTGACTTTTGAGGGTTTACATATCCACAAAGTTGAATATATTTGAATTGATATACCTTTAGCTAGAGTGGGTGAAATCACTTCAGTGAGCGTTGGAATTGTGCCAGTCTCAGTTCAAGCGACAAGACTCAGAGTCAGACTGCTGTACCGCCTTGGGAGTTGGGACTGCTATTCTAGTTCAAACTCCATGTTAAAAGTGGCATATTTCGTTTAACTACAAAATACAAATTACTACAGTGTATTCGATTGTCTCCCCTCTTTTACAGTTTGAGTTTCAAGTTTGCTATTTCAATTTTAGCATATCCTCATTCCTCACCATTCATGTTTCAGTTTACAGGAGCCATGGTGATGGTTGGCACTGATACCTCTGCTGGAAGCTCCTGATCTGATAGGTATTGCTGCTCAGATGAACATTTTATTTCAGCTTTTTATTTGATTCATTTCAATTTGTCTGTTTTCAGAACCAATGAACTGTGTCTGACTTATACCCTGAGTGACACGACCGCGCAGCTGAGCTGGAGGCGAGGGCCTGTGATCAGGAGCACGCAAGATAATTACAATTTGAATCGGAAGGAGAATGTGTGGCAGAACTGCATGGTACAGAGAAAACGTTCATACTTTTGTAGATCAGATTAAATTTCTTTATTTTTCAACTATTAACATTTATTTAAAACCAGGGGCGTAGGCAGGGAGGGGGCCACTGGGCCATGGCCCCCCCCCCCTTGGGCGCCGAAGGCGCCCTTTGCGATTGGAGGGCGCCGAAGGCGCCCTCCAATCGCAAATGCAATTGTGATATAATCGAATCGAAAAACAATCGCGACTGGAGGGCGCCCTCCAATCGCGAATGTGTTTACAGGGAAAATACGGATGGAGGGCGCCCTCGGAGGACGCCCATTCCAAATACGCCCTCCAAATACGGTTGGAGGGCTCCCTCGGGCGCCCTCCAACCACATTTGTAGGCTGTAGCTCTCTAAGCGAAACGGTGGTCGCCAATGTAAGCCGCTGTCCTGTAAATAAGCGCCCTCTCACCCGAAGGCGCCCTCCTGTAGGTCGCCACCCTGCTACACATTGCCGCCCTTCTGCTGATCGGCGTCCTCATAATTATTGGCGCTCTCCTACCTATTGAGCCCTCATGTGAAATTTTGAAGGCCGCCTTTCTCCCTTTTGGCACCCTCTTGTTCAGTGCCGCCCTCCTACCCATTGGTTCCCTAGTCCTTCCTGTTGAATGTTAATCGGGACCCTTCTCCTATTGGCGCCCTCGTGTAGATCGCCGCCCTCCTAACCACTGGCACCCTCCTGTTGATCACCGCCCTCCTATCCACTGGCACCTTCCTGTTGACCAGCGCCCTCCGCACAGACGCCCTCCTGTTCGTGTCATCCTCTTGAGCAAAGGCGCCCTCCTCACCATTGCCACCCCCATTTTAATCGTCACCCTTCCGCTCATTGGCGACTTCCAGTTGATGACCGCCCTCCCACCTATTGGCGACCTCTTGTTGATCGCCACCCTCCTATTGGTGCTCTCCTGTTCCTCGCCACCCTCTTACCTGGTGGCGCCCTCCTGTTGATTGTTGATCGGCGCCCTCCTACCTATTGGTGCCCTCCTGTTGATCGCTGCCCTTCTATCCATTGGCGCCCTCCTGCTGCTCGCCAACTTCCTACCTATCGGTGCCCTACTGTCGAAACTCGGGATGTTGATCGGGGCTCTTCTACCTATTAGTGCCCTCCTGTGGATCGCAGCCCTTCTACCTATTGGCAACATCCGTTGATCGCTGCCCTCCTATCATTTATTTACTCCGTTGGCATGTTTTTCAACTTAGTCGTTCTATTGCACATAGTTGATGTCTTGCCTGTGAAAACTGCCACAAATGAACGTGCATTCAGCACAATGAATGAAGTATCTATACCTACCAAAACTATCTACGCTCTACGATGCATAAAACACGTCTTTGGTCTTAACGGATTGATCCTACTTTACGTGCATCATGGCATCTATATGGATTACGATTAAGTATTGTCAACAGGTTCGGGCGCAACAGCAGGCATCTGAAGTTTCGGTGATTGAAACTGGTTATGTGGGTACACTGTATGCATCTGTGAGAAGGCTATGAAGGCTGGTCTGAGGTAATTTGGATGATGTTTACGCATCTCGCGCTCCGGTATCAATCCGATACGGTGATCTGGTGCGTAGATATGCCACCGCCAATAAACTTTTATACATCGACACCCATGAGCCAAGCTTTCTGTACAGTTTGTGTGGCAGCGGCCCGACCAAACCTTAGGTATTTTTACACCTTCAAATTTGGTAAAAGAGCGAGAGGAGCTTTGAACAGTGATCGTATAAAAGGCGTGCCTAAAAAGCGGAGGAAAAGGTTGTTTTCAAAAATTTCGCGCGCCTTCGGCGCAGCATTTCAAGAACACTTGACCTTTTGTGACCTGGAGTATAATGAATACACACGATGCAAAATCAATGCAGCACGACCTATACGAGGTTACGCAAAAAAAAAAAACTGGTGGCATGGTAAAAAACGCCTCCCAACCCCCCAACCCCCACTGAGCGATTTTTTATCTCGCGACCGTATGGCGCCCTCCTTGGGTGAGGTGGCGCCCTCCAAACCCTTGGCCCCCCCCTTCGCGATTTTCTAAATACGCCGCTGTTTAAAACTGTGCTGTGAAAAAATATGTCAAGCAGTTTTGGTTTAGGTTACCTGTGTTCCCTTTGTGGCATGCTTGACATGCTCATCTTAGGTTTACATTTGTAATTGATCCATTTTCATTTTTCATTGGATGAACACATGCAGTTATGAGTAACACTTCAATTCTTACAATGAATATACTATATATAGTCAACGTGGAATTTACCTATACCAGAAGCTGGTCTATTTATTCAATGTTAGCAAAAAAAGTAGGTATCATTTTGTTGGGTGTCAATTTCAAGCAAAGGCTTATATTTTCAATGTCATCCTTGAAATGTCTAAAACAATATATGTGTAAAACTATATAAGATATATAAAACAAGTTGTTTTTAGTACTTTGCAGCCCGACAACCTGTCTCGGGCGTGCTCCTATGTTCCTCGTGGTGGGCAAAACCAAAAGCAAAACAACCAGAAGTACCAGAAAGCAAGATTTATGAACACGCCAGGATCAAGAAATTATCAGCCATCACAGAACATTGCTCCAACAGGTACTACTTCCTCAGAGTCTATTTCCATTCCTCATTTCCTTCATTTCCCTTGTCATTCTCCATAAATGACATTCGTCCTAAACAGGCACAGCTCATTTTTTACATTTACTTCTAATCATAATTGATTGGTCACAAAATTGTCCTGAAATTAGGTCAATAATATCACAATTAAGAGATATACATCCTATATGTACAGCCCACCGCTAAAGTAATGTAGGGTTTTACCAATCTCAACGGTTGGCTTTGACTGGCGATTGTTTAATGCGGAGTGATCGAAAAGAAGATGTCAATAGCTAAAGTTGCAGCTGCAAGGGTGACGATACATATAAGCTACATTCAAAGTTTCATTGTAGTCTGGCTAATCGTTCCTAAGCTTCAGAAGCAGAACATACCCACAGTGTCCCAAAATTGAGTTTTGTCTTGGGTGTCAGAGGGGAAAATTGCCCACCAAAAAGAGGGGAGAGAGTGAAAAACTGCTGTTTCGATTAGATCCAAAAAGAGTGAAAAATGACAAAAAAACGTGCATTTTATTCTAAGGTGTAGGATGCTTGATGCTAAACCGGGCATCCACACAACTGCACTTTCTATTGGTAAAAAATATAGGTTTTCTTGGTTGGGAGTGAAAATTGTTCTTAGAAATTGGTGGTGAGAATGGGAAATAAATTTCATTTGGATGTCGTTTCTAGAGGTGTCAATCGGAACTTGAATATTCGGAATTCCGATTTTGTCCAATGTCCAATTCGGAATTCGGTTGGACAATGACAGCAGGCTTTGGACAACTTTGGACAATCGCTTGCTACACCTCAACATTTTTATAAAGTAATCGTGTTTAACATTGGTTGGCTATGAGAAAGCTCAGCTTTCGATATGATTACCACTTTTGAGCTGGTAATGATACATTTAAAGCAAATTAAATAACGGTGTTGAGTGTAAACTATTGCGTAGATGTCGGACATCTTTGGACAAATGGCTGGCTTGGACATTTTTGGACGGACGGTCGACGTAAGTATTGGACATTGGACAGACATTGGACATATGCTTTCTAAAATTGACATCACTAGTCGTTTCCCACCCAAATCGACAAATTTTGGGACATTGCATACCCATGACTGAAACCCCACATTACTTCTGCTGTGGACTGCACATGGTGCATAACTACTTTGCTCTCATCAATCGCCGGAGTTTCTAAGCGATCGTTCATTGCCATGGCGAGCATTTGAATTTTTCCCGGGGTAAGGTCTATCAATGTGACCTGCTGACCTGACCTTTCAAAGACTTAGGTCGGAAATTTTCCCCTGTTCAGAAAAGATGCATCAAAAATCGCCTTAGGGGAGTATCCAATTCCAAACATCCTCACTCCTGGCCCTGCACAATTTAAGTAGAGCTACCTACTTGTTTTCTCGATTGAATGCCTTTGCACATGATTCAGTTGCACTTCTGTACTAGTTAGTTGAGAAACTGTTAGAATTCATTTCGCTTTTCCAGCTCTCGTCACCCTATTTGGATGTTTTTTTTTTCAGGCACACTTCCAGTGCTGATCCGTGGAGATTTCGCCGGATGTCCTGATGAAGAGAGGATCGTGGTTTCGATGAGATGGGGTCTCATTCCTTTCTTTCACAAGGTAGTAAGGTACCATTGTATTTTTTCTCATTTCTTACGAGCGTGCGTGAAGTACGATTGAAAGTGATGCTCGCGTGTTTGCACCTATTTCTTACAAGGGTACTATTCTTCAAAGACATAGTATCTGAGGCCTGAGCTTTCTACAAATATATCTGACCAACTTATGATATTGCAGGTCTGAACGTCTCAGTGGAAGAGCTACTATGCAGCTGAGTGCTTAATTAGTTGTTCACTACAGCGCGCTATTTTGCTATTGTTCCAGGGCGACATTGCGGAGATGAAACTGACAACGTTCAACGCCCGTTCGGAAGAGTTCCGCGACAAATCCATGTTCTCTGGACCGTTTAAACGCAGGCAGAGGTAGGTATACACTACGTACGACTATTGTGGTATTGTTTTTTTTTTTTTAGTTATTTAGTATGCTTGCTCGTTCTTCATCAATACGTTGCTTCCTCTATCTGTTATTAACATACAAACTTGCAATTGTATGTGCTAAATCTATCTGCGTTCTTCTCTGGCTACGTCTGGTTCACCAGTGCAATTTGGAACCCTCGAGTTGTACCTGCCTCCGATTGAATTAAATTTGGCTCTTCAAAACCTGGATTCGGTAAAACAGTGATTTGCGAGTTCTGTCTATGCTTCCTTCTGCTGAAACACACATTCCATTCAAGAGCAGATCTTTTATTTGTGCTGCAATTTTTTCACTAACATCGACCAATGCAGTACTAAATGTATGGGGATGTGCATTGTGTAATATGCATTGTGCTCTGTTTGTTCAAGATCAGATATCTGGGGCTTTAAATCTTTTCCTTTTGCTCCTATCAGTGCTTCCAGTTCAAATAAGAAATCCGAACGTGATTCGGTCTACTTGATGACGTAAAACGCACCCTCATTAGATGGGCTACCGAAATCAGCTAGCATCGGGAACTTTACAGCCCGGCAGCGATCGACCCGGCCACAGACTTCTCTATATACCCGGCTAATAGACCAGTTACTCTTGATGAAATACGCACACGATCGACGCCGATACCATCGTTCGATAGGTTACGATAATCGCTGCAATAGTGAAATTTAATCGACGTTGTCAGTGATTTCCTTGGTGAATAGTTATTGCTTCAATCGAATTGAAGTCGAGCTTTATAGTCGTACTCAAACTTTTATGAGTCTCTGAATACGGTTTGAATAAAATGATCGATTTCATTGACTTGTCTTCGTCGATGCCGATGGTAATAGGTATCATCACCTGTCGCCATCGACTGAGAACTTTAATGCCTCGCTTTTTCAGATGTGTGATTCTGTGCGATGGCTATTACGAATGGAAAAGAGATGGGAACAACAAAAAGCCATACTTCCTCTACACGGAACAAGATAAAAAGGTAAATTCCCTATGCGTGATTTATTTATTTACGATCATAAGCCTCCACGTGGTGATACTATTTGTCGTTGCTTGGGTTGCTGTTTGGTGATCGTTTGGTACATGTTTGGCATGCTTTGTCTATTATGCTTGAGGATTAGTCATTTTATCGGCGAATGTTTATCCACGTATGAAGTTAGTGAGACGAAAATCGGATGGTAATGGTCCTACAACCAATGTTGTCTACCAAGCCAGATGTACATATTTGTATGATCTGACTGATCGTTGTCCGGCAGTGGGACATTTGTACGGACGTGAACAAGCTGAGCGAAGAGGATCTCTGGAGCGAAGAGGAAGGCTGGAAAGGACCCAAACTGACCATGATGGCGGGCCTGTTTGAGACACGGAAAATGGTGAGACCCTTACCTATCTATGTTTGTTAGATCATTGTATATGTAAAATGAGTTGGTGGATGCTCGGAAACGCGGCTGAAGCGTCTATCCATGATGGGGTCCTCGATGCATGTTCGTTGTCATTGTCATTACCGAGTGTCCGTATGATCCACCTGAGTCGACGAGACGAAAGGCAGCAAATGAGTCGTGAATCGCCGTTTGCAGGACGATGAGGAAGTTCTCTACAGCTGCACTATCCTGACTCAGGCCTCGAACCCTCATCTGACGTGGATTCACCACCGAATGCCCGTGTTCCTGACTACACCGCGGGCGGTCCAGGTGAGACACGCGTCTGTGTATCCCGCCGTCCGCACCGTTAGCGGTACAGTGAACCTGTGCGAGCGCTGCACGTCGCGTGCCATCGGCGATGCATCGGACGTATTGATTCGATTCCGCCGCCATGGCCTTTCGTGCGTCCCATTAGACGGTGTCTGTTGTTGACTGGAGAACAGTGAGTTTGTGGTGACCGTGACCGTTCCCGCAGGACTGGCTGTCTGCCGAGAGCTCGGAGCAGACGGCACTGAGTCAGATCACCCCGGCAGACTCGCTGACCTGGCACCCAGTCTCGTCTGAAATCAACAACGTCCGTAACCGGGACGCCACATACGCGCCGGTGGACGACACCAAACGGTCACCGGCGGCCGGCTTCATGGCCAACTGGCTCGGCAAGGGCAAGGCGGAGAAGCGACCGGCGGAGGACGGAGAGGACAAACCCAGCAAACGCTGAAGGGCGGCGGACGATCTGCACCGCGCCAGACGGCGGGGTGACGAGTCCGCGGGAGGAACAAGCCAAGATTGTTCGTCCTCTAGGGATGGTACCTGAACAATGAACATTTGAATGCTGAACAGCAGTTAGAATGGCTGTTCCTTTTTGCCTTTTAGCGCGTACCTATGTTTTGTATTGTTTTACAATTTGCATTGTAGTTTATTATACCGTTAACTTTGCTGTATGTAGAAACTGGTGTTCGATTTTGTAGCTAAGCCAGGTCGCGAGAAGGCTGCCAGGAAGTTCTTTTACACCCAGAAAAATAGCCGTTTACAGCCGTTAGAAAACTAACGGCTCATTGATGGATAACATTTCGATCACAAAGCAAACGCTCTTTAAAATACTTGTCAATAAAGAAGTCAAATGTCAACATTTATTCGTAAGTTATGGGTTGCGCTGGCACACATCACGTTACAAGTTGAAAACGGTTACGACTTACGAACCATCTGGGTCACACCGATGTGGGTCTTCCACGCACATAGGAACTTAAGAATGCGTCCTGAAATAACAATGACGGTGTTTCCCGCCCAGCTAATGCGCACAACTTGAAGGCATGAGACGCTTCAAGTGGTACATATTTACAGTGTCACCTTGTGACTCTCTCCCCTGACATGGTGCGTTCTTGGCTCTCGCTCGCTGGCTCTGCCTCCGAGTGCTCACTCTCGTTTCGCCACCACGTTGATGGGCGGCAGCAGGGTAGGACGGGTGGCCACGGGCGGCATTGGCGGCGGCGGCGGCGCCTCCTCGGGGGTGGGCGCGCCGCCCGACCGGCCGTAGCTGCGCTGCCTCTGACGGACCTGGGCGGCGGCGCGGCGCCACGCGCGCACCGCCCGCCTGCGGCGCGCCGGCGGGCCGCACAGCTGACAGTAGAGCGCCACCAGCAGGGCGGCCAGCACCAGCAGCGGCAGCAGCAGCAGGAGGAACAGCCAGGCGGCGCGGCCGTGCTGCTGGCGCGGCACGGCCAGCGCGCCGTCCTCGTCCTGGCGCACCAGGCAGCTGAGGTTGCTGCCGAGCACCGCCGTCTCGCGCAGAAACTGCTCGCAGGCCAGCCAGGCGTGGCAGCGCTCCGGGCCGGCCGAGAGCAGCGCGTGCTCCACGTCCCAGCCGTTGCGGCGGCGCAGCATCAGGTGCGACGCGTACGCCACGTGAGCCGTGAACGCCAGACACGAGCTCCGCTCGGTCTGGCACAGGCGGCACGAGCACGTGCCGTTAGAGGCGACCACGCTGGCCACGTGACACGTGGCCGGCGCGTAGCTGCCCGAGAAGAGCGGCCGCACGCCCTCGTCCAGAGTGAGCGGCACCAGCACGCAGACTGCCAGCGCGGTGACGATGATGGCGCCGATCAGCAGCGAGCTGCGCCACGGCGGCGGGCGGCAGCCGCTCTTCTCGGCAGATTCCGGGTCTGCCAGCGGCCGGCGGCGGCCGCAGCAGCCCAGCCGGCGGGGCCGTCGAGCCCGGTCGGCCGCCGGTGTCACCGGCTGCCCGCTGGCCGCCGTCACAGACACAGCCACCTGGGCCATGACGCCGGCTGCAGGGCGGACGGAGCGCGACCAGCTCCGCGCGGCGACTGCCGGCCGCTGCCGACCGATCGCGACCCACCGACACTCGTCACATTATTGACGAGCGAGTAACGAGCCACAGTCACGGCCGCATTCATCTTTCAGCGAGGATCGGCCGGTGATCGGGAATCCATAGCGACGGAACGGAGTTCGTAACCGGGCCGCCCCTCTCTGGAGCGGGAATCACAAAACAGCCGTGCACTGAATGACAATGACTCGGTAATGGTGAGTGTAGTTAGATCATCCACGGCCCTAGAATAACGATCCGTGTATATCGCATCACATGCAACGTGTGTATTTAATCCGATTGATGATAGGCAGGGCTTACGGTTAATTATATATGTAGTTAGATGAGGAATGTCGCTAGCCTAGCTTTTTATACCTGTTTTTGATCAGTTGTGTCCTTCGAGCGAAGCATTTTCGAAGCACAATCACCTGACGAAATCGATCCGGTATGAGAAGTTGGTAAAGCGCATGTACATCGTAAAATATAAAAATGGCCATGCATATATTCGAACAAAGGGAGATGCACGTTGAACAAAGACGCCACTTCTCTACTGTTTACGGAAAAACACGACGCATCGCGATATTTACACATACAAAACAGACCCTATCTACAAATCACACTGCGATCGTCACGCTGTACCCAGTTTCACTGTTTTACTTTTTGCCAGTGACTTCATGAAGTCTGCGGGCACGGCGGCCTCGGCGAACCTGGCCAGGTCGTCGTCACTGTCACTGTCACTGTGCTTTCCACTGCCCCCGGCGGCCGGCACCGCCCCGCCGCCGCTGTCTGGCGACTCTGACACCAGCCCGTCACCCCCGGACGGCGGAGGCACCGCGCCAGGGGCGGCCGGCTGCCGCTCGCGGCGGCCCTTTTTCTTCAGCTGGTAGCGCTGCAGCTCGACGCCGCTCAGTCTGGGCCGCTTGGCCGGCGGCGGGGGCTCCGGGGCGGCCTCCTCGGCCACCTGCAGCGGCGGAGCGCCGGCGAACAGCCGCACATCGCCCTCGACCGGCGCCGGCCGCAGGTGCTTGCACCGGTCCTTCTCCTTGATCATGCTGCTCACCAGCTGGTCCAGCTTCTTGCCGACAAACTCGCGAAACTCCGGCGTCGTGTCGAGCTCACGCCAGTCCCCCTCAGCCGGCGCCCCTCCCATCTCTGCACGTGAGACATTCATGGCTGAATCATCAGCATATTACCTGAAATATGAGAGGATGCAAGCATGAAAGCTCAACACTAGCATGAAAGCAGAGCTGGTGGTTGCTGCCCATGCATTCACTTTTCGAAGTTGGAGCAATTATTGAGACCAACCCTCATCTTGAAAAATTGAAAAGCTACACAAAGTAGCAAATATCATTTTGCTGCAGAATGGTCTGGGCACTAATGATGCATGATTTTAACATAAATTGAAATTGTACTTACATGATCTATGCCACACATGTTAATAATGCCTTGGCCTTGAGCTATGATAATGATGCAGCCATGAGCCAACTCTAGTTGGCATATCCAAAAGCTAAGTGGCAATGTGATGTGGTGAGATAAGTGACAATGTAAGGTGAGGCTGATGTCAAAGTAGCATTCCCTGACACATGATCAATAATCCCCAAGTGTCTCCAGCTGTAAGTCGCATCACTCGCATAGGTATGCACACTGCACAGTGCAGATGTGTTTATGACTTATAATAAAACAACCCGGAATGTAATCACTTCAACATTGACTTCGAATTTGAGTTGGACAGCAAGCCAATTGGGGTGAAAAAGACCAGCCAGTACGTACCTAGTCCTACTAAGTAATTGTCAACGTACTCCATCAGTCATCCATGGCAGCAAGTTGATGTACCAACCATAAGCTAGAGCCGCATAGCACATCTATAAAACACTTAAATGCAATTACACCAACACCAAATAAAAAAGTCAAAATCTTTCTCACCTATCCTTCTCCACATCCCCACACACTGTTCCACATGCTTCCAGTATACATGTTTACAAAATTTGCCCATTTTCATTCATTTCGCTGATTATGTTCAGCACGAGCAGCTTTCGTACATACAAATTTCCATTATCCTGTCGGATTCGTCAAATGGTTTCTCAAAAGCCGCAAATACAGCTTACGAACATGCAAGCATCACTATCATTGAAACAACAGCGCATTTTATGTCGCAACCTGTCGATACATGCGATTGGTGATGGTGGCCGGCGTCTGTTATTGCATTACTTTACGCATTTTCGTAAAAATAGCCCATTCTAAGCGTTGTCAGGCCCTTGGTTTGGCCTAGGACATTGCAAGGGGGGGGGGGGGGGTGTTGCAGATTGCTCCTCAAGGCTCAAACAGTGAATTGGAATACCGAGTCCACTTCAACTTCCTCCGCAGTTAGCTTATTTTGAAAATTAATATTTGCTCATTTCTATTTGCTCTAATGAATATTGTTTTGAATGAACTTATTTTTGCACATAGTTTTTTCTTATGAAGCCTAGGTTCTTATTATAAGATAAGATTGGCGCTGGCTGCAAGTTTAATTTCTGAATCTCTGGCTAGTGCTACCAACAGAAAAATAGCGGAATGTGGACTGGACTGCTATTTTTTATTTCTAGGATTCGCCGTCAAGTTCAACGTATCTCATGAAAAAATAACCAGCAATGTGAAAAATATCAGTAAGCCTGGCTGATATCTATTAACATCAGTGTACTTTTTCCTTGGATGGTGAAATTCTGGGACAGCTTTAGGGGGAAAATCCCAGCAGCTTGCAGTTTTACTGTTGGTAATGCTAGCCTGTGCTAGCCTCTGAGCTGATTTGCAACTAAAAAGAGGGTGAAAGATGCATATACATTGGGCATGCATTAGGTCCTATAGGCTATAATACCTGATATTATTAATGAGTTGTTTTATTTGGCTCTATTTATGTGTTGAACTGCTGGCTCATTTTTAGGGTTTGTATTGGTTATGTATTGTGATTTCCTCAGGTGCTTCATTGATAATCAGAATTATTTCAATGTATTTTGTGATGACCATTGGCATTCACTGATCTCTTTATTTTTCAGGGCTGAAGATAACCACCCATTCTAGAAATCTGTGAGCAGCTGACAGCAGTAATGCCAACTGTTCTGGCACTGGATGTGTCGCTCTCTATGAGCCGACCTGTGTTCCAGCAGGACCGCTCAGAAGAACCTCCCACTGTCCGCCAGCTGGCCATTAAGGGCATTCATGCGCTGCTTAACCACATTCACCACAACTGCAAGCTAGAATTTGCTGCTTTGGTAAGGTCACTGTAATATGCTTACAGCATTTAATGTTTTTGTTTTGTGTATTCTAGAAGCATTCATCATCATCTTCTTGATGCAATATTGTTTTTTTCTTTGTGTATGTACATTGGTGTCGATTGAATTACTCTATTTTCACAGGCGGTGTACAGTTCAATGTACGAGATTCTCGGTTCATTTACACGCGACTTTGACCAGCTGAAGAGCCGCCTCGCCTCGCTGGCCGAGTATGACAAGTCGTGTGTGGAGACTGCGCTGCTCGGCGTCAAGGCGGTCGTAGCCGAGGAGTGGGGCAGCGGCACCGCCTGTCAGGTGAGGTTTCTTGTGTCGTGAGGTGCGTTAGATGATCGGTGTGAGATGTCAGATTCAGTTAGCGTTAAAAGCGATCGGGGTCACGGCTTTTCTAGTTGCTCTTAATTGTTATGGGGTGACGGCGTTAAGTGACGACGCACTTTGACATTAGACATGTTAATTAATGTACGCATCTTGTTTCGTCTTTTGGTAACTTATAAAATTGGATTGTTAATTATCGAGTACGTCTTTTTTGCACACCACCGTCTGTTCGTCGTGGATATTCTGGTTAACCATTATCAGGGACCAGGGTGTCCGTTAAGACGACTGACATTTCTCCATGGCATCTTTCCGGTGACCGTCACCATCACGTCCACCAGGTGATAATAATCAGCGACGGCAGTCTGGGCGTGGGCGACTCGTCGCTGCGCCAGCTGGTGGCCGGCAGCCGGCTGCACCTGCCCTTCTCGTTCCCCTGCCGGCTGGACGTGGTGCTGCTCGGCGAGCGGGCGGAGCTGGAGCGGCGCGGTGCGCCGGCCGCCTTCCAGCGGCTGGTGGAGCTCAGTGGCGGCGAGGGCGCCGTGCACACGCCCGAGCCGCCGCTCTCCGCCAAGGTGCGTACGCACTGATCACTGATCAGTGACCACCTTCTTCGCCAAGTTAGATATGTACAACTGTACACACCGATCACTGAGCATCTCTCTTTGCCAAGGTGGATGTTAGCGGCGTTTGTTTCTCATGATTACAATATCCATGATAGTAACTGTTACCTACAGTGAAATTTCCTGCTCTGTTGACAGTGATGGTATAATGATAATGTTTTATATGATACACGTCTGCAGCGACTGACGATGGTTTGTGTACCCGCAGTCGACGCTGGCGCTGTTCCGTCGTCTGGCTGAGACCAACTACGCTCCGTTCAGCGGTGTACTCCATTGTGGCGGACTGTCCTCGCGAGTCACGCTCTGTCCCCCGCCACAGGTGAGCAGGGTTGAGACTGGACGGCTGGGGAGCTCCTGTACCACGTGTAGGGATGGGGACTGGGGAGGGTTCAGTTTTCACACTACTGATGATGATAAATTGTGGAGGCTAGACGTCTTTCTCCGTCGCTGATTATACGGCTGTTATATTTAATTATACAGCTATTATACGATGTTATACGTTATACGCTGATTATACAGCGATTATACGGCTGATTATGTAAGCGATGTGTGTCACCCTCACGACTAGCGAAACCACCGAATTTCGTTCCGTAAAAGTGAGCCCCTTTTTGTTGCTCATGCTTACGCACACTGCAATGTGGCCGGTGGTCTTTACCTAAGTTACCGTGGCGATCAACGTATCCCAGGGTCATCTGATCACGCCACCTTTCCCTGACAGACGTACAACCGGACACGTGACTTTGAGGCCGTGAAGCGGACGGTGTCCCCGGAACTGCGGATCTGCGGGTTCCTCTCTGTGGCTGACGTGGCCAGTCCGCCGGCCTTCTCCCGGCACCTGGTACTCCCAGCGCCCTCAGGTGGGCCAGTGATAGACCGTGAAGGGCGATTCGTATGTTACACCACAATTAACCATCACTAAATAACCACAGTTGGCTGTTGATCTGCAGGCTTTTCAGGACTTCAAATATTTTAGGGAAGGCACGTATCTTTTAGGTCTAGGACAAAGTCCCAAACAACTCAGTCTTAAGCAGGATTTTTTGTCATTTTACCAAGACAGTATAATATCTCCTTCATGAATTATGGCACCGCAACCTTGTATTTCCCTGTTACGTTACGCTTTTTTAGGCTCTGGTTGGCTATGTGTTAACAACATTTTGCACATTCGCCGGCAGAATCCGGAGATGCTCCGGGCGAGCCGTGCTCAGAGGAAGACGAGAACGCGCGCACCGCCTGCTTCTGCGTCCTTTTACATGGCGGACTGAAGGTGAGCCTAAGTGCCGGCCGCCGACCCCGTCAGATCAGCAGAAACTCTGTGAGCAGGCTGATATGTGTTTACCGTTCAGTGTCAATTGCCGTCCCCCGATACGCTGCCGGCCGTTAGCGCTTCTTCCCAGTGAGCTATTGGCGACCGATGCTCTGATGAGGACACATTTATATAACACCTTGGTTTATAGCTGATAATGGGTCTGTTCCCGTCGCTCCTCCCAAAAAATCTCGGATGAGGTTGGATGAGCTTGGAGGAGAGCCGTTTTAGAGGAGCCACGGGAACATTTTCGCGATAAAATCAGCTGTTTGCGGGCTGTAACGGTCGGCGATTTATGGCGCGCAAACATAAATCAAGAGATAATAATCGCTTTCTAATAAAATAACCATAGATTAATATCAAACATTACTATTTAAAGATTTCTAATCGTCATCTATATTACTATTTGAGGAGGGCGTAGTTTCTGTCTATTACGAAGGTCGCGACATGGTGCTACGTAGCGCGGGTTACAGATCACACCGTTGCACCTACCGCGCTGAAATTTGCGCAAGTTATAGAACAAGGATGGACAACGTGCCTTTGAGCGGTCTCGGCTCGATCGGATCGATAGCGAGCGCGTGGCGCGTGCCCAAAAAGTGCAAATTCGCGTCATAGACTTTACATGTATAAATCGGCTGGCAAAAACGGGCGAAAATGGCTAAATTTGCCCGACACGGGTCCGTTCCCCGTGCAATATCTCGGTAGCCGTGCGCCCGATCGGCACGGGGAAAACAGCATCGTGTAGAGAATCGAACGGGCAATCGAATAGTGTGCGGTGCAGGGGTGGCACGCGCCACGTGGAAGTGTGAGGGCAATTTCATTTCAAAAAGTGCCATTTTAAACGGATTTTGGATTTTATTTTATTTTCCCGTGACCATCAGACTGAGAGAGTTGAAACAACGTCAATTGCCAAGAGAAATGTACCGCCTCTCATGGAAAAATTGTGGACAGCTAATTGATCAAAAACAATGTGGCAAAATCGCTGAAATAAAATGGTATTTGTCCATAATGTGCCACTAAAAAGATACACGGGATTTGCTGCTTAACCTGATAGGTACGCTTGACAATTGAAAATGCTATCATTAGAAAGAGCATTCAATTCTCTCCAAGATCCAATCATCACGTTTGCATGACAAGCAACAGTATTCTTAAAAATATAAATGTTTTAAACCTCTGCAAAACGATTTTTAGCGAAAATTATCTACGCCTTTCATTTGTCTTAACCCTCGCCCCGTTGGGGGGGGGGGCCATTTTGGCCCCCCCTGTGGTTTTTCCTGAATAGCAAGAAAACGGCGGCGCGCAGCGCCGCCAAATTTTCAGTACCTTCCCGGGCATCAATTTGACACATTCACACCAAATTTCAAGTCTTAGGTCACCTTAGGTCAGGAGTTATTGAGGTCAAACTGAGGTCATGTTCGAGCAAAAATGAGCAAAAAACATGCAATCTTGAAACGCTCACCAAATCTACAGTTATCAAGCAATTTCAAAGTTCTTTATATGGTCTAGTAGACAAAAAGCGGCGCTACAAAACTGCTATCTCGGATTTTCGAAATTTTTGGTTTTTGACAAAAAAAAATCAAAAAATTGATTTTTTTAGAAAAACTTTGAAAAAATCCAAAATTTTTCCGAATTTCGAAAAAACCGGAATATATGTTATAGTCCCAGCGCTCTTCTATATACATACCAAATTTCAGATCGATATCTCGTTTTTTGGCCAAGTTATAGCGAAAAAACTGTTCAAAAATGATGACGTCAAATTTTTGAACTCAATTTTTAGCAATTCTAGACCACGTACGGCAAAACAAAGACCACCATTGAACTTCGCGTGACGAGCTGCATCGATTCGATACCCATTTTATGCAAAAATATTAACTTTGAAATTTGACCTAATTTGACCTGACCTTGACCTGACCTTGACCAAAACGTGATCTAAAATGGCCCCAAAGGCTGCCTGACCCATATAATCGCATTTGTCATGTAAAATGGACCATAAAACATGTATCACACGACACTTTCATATTGTGACCCCCCGTGACCTGACCTCTGTGACCTGACCTGGTATCAGTGACCTCAAATAGCAAAATATGTGTTTGAAGAACATTTCCCCATCGATGATTTTCAATGAAATGCATTTTACTCGATTTTACAACGCATTTCTTGAAGTGCCTGTAAACGGTGAAAATTGGACCTTTGACCTGACCTGTGACGTCATCGGTTTGACCTAGGTCAATAAAATTGGGTCACAAGGTAGTTCCCCGTTGGGGCTATCCAACGCCGTTTACCGCTTGTCGCTATGTTGCGTGGTTCTCGAGATCTTAGGGGGGCCAAAATGGCCCCCCCAACCGGGCGCGTTGCTCGGCAGAGCCCAACGGGGCGCGGGTTAAAACTACGCACCTCAATTATAAAGCACAGTTGACAGATTCTGAAGTGGAAAGCATGCTTATCAGACACGGGCACCTCGATGCGGTGGATATTTTTTCCACAAACCAAAACGTTTAGCCGTCAAAAAGCAATCGACCGAAATGGATAGATAACCCAACCGACACAAGAACAACCGAACACCCGCCGATCGAAAATATCCCTTTTCGCGTTGCGGAGCACGCGGGTCACCCTAGTCAATCACTAAAATCATTTCCACTTCCCTCAAATCTCATTTATAAACAATTCACATTCGTATTATGTGCGCCAAATGTGTATCAGCAGAGCCTCCTCCAAAAAACCAACTTTCGTTTGGGATGAGGGAGGAGGCAAATAGTGGTGGTGAGATGTGAAATCAAGATGAGCTTGGAGGAGCTTGGAGGAGCGACGGGAACGATTTTTTGAAACGAGAGGAGGTTAGAGGAGCTTGGAGGAGGTTGGAGGAGCGACGGGAACAAACCCTATGTTCTGTACCGCCAGAGGGAGAACGCGGCGGCGCTGGTGAACGTCGGGGAGGACTGGTATGGTATCGTTTACTCGTGGGCTGATAACAAGAAAAAGGCCAACCTCATGCTCTCATTGTTTGAACCAGGTGAGACATATTATCAACTACATGATATATGAATGCAGTTTGTGGATAACTTGATTCGAATGTCAAAATACTGCCGTAATAAATGCCTTCAGCATCGTTGGTCCATTATCTGAATTTGCGACCGTTAAAAACGCTGTGGTTTGCATGAAGTGTCCCTCTTACAAGTTGCCTGACTCACCCTTCCCTGATACTGGCCTCAGGCACGAACGTGCTTCCCTGGCTGGGCGATTTCACGAACCTGGGGCCCGCGGTGCCGGGCGCACCGTCGCCGTTCCCGATCAAGGTGTCCCGTAAGCGCAGCTACCAGCAGACGTGCGTCACGTGGACGCGCCAGTCCGGCCTGCACTCAGACGTACAGAAGGTGCTCCGGCACGCCCGAAAACTGCCAGACAAGACGCAGAACTTCTACAAGGTGGGTGGGAGCTCGGGTGACCAGCGGGGATGACTAGATGGCGTGAAGTCTGCGTTTAGAGCCGAGTACGAAAAATCTGGCCAAGGGGGGGGGGAGTATATGGCACTCATGTGAGACTTTCATGCGGGCTAGCACTCCCTTTATAACCGCAGGTTGTTTGAAATAGACATATCTGTTTGAAACGTTTTCAAGTGATGGATCATTGCTGGTGGCCTCTCCTGTCGCTCATCTAACCTTTCCCTCGGCCGCCCGTCCCCGCTGCAGGAGCTGAACCGCCTGCGGAGCGCGGCGCTCTCCTTCGGCTTCTACCAGGTACTGGAGAGCGTGGCCGTAATCCTGGAGCGTGAGTGTACCCTCCTACCGGGCAACGCGCACCCGGACTGTGCGCTGCAGCTGACCCACGCGGCCACGGCACTGCGCCACCCCGAGCACCGGCAGCCGGGCAAACCGATCCAGCCGCTCAGCACGCGGTTCCAGCAGGGCAGCTGAGTGGGGTGACGTGGCCGGGGCGGGGCGAACTCGGTCAGTGGGAGTACTGTGGCTGGGGAGGGCAGTGGGGCTGTCTGGAGATGTCGCTGTGTGCGGAGGGTGGATAACCATGGCGCTGTTTGATCATGAGTGTTTGTTTTGTCTCGAGTGTGGGTGAGTTGTATTTGTATGTGGCGACGCTGTGATTAGTACGTGGTTTCATAATTCATATATCATCACTTTGGTGGTGTATTACGAGCAGTGTTTTTTTCAGCTTATCCCGCATTTTCACACATTCATTGCAATAAACATATTTGTGCTACCCTCTGGTACAATTAAAACGAGAAAGGCTGAGTTGTAAATAGTGTTCAGTTAACTCTTATTTTTAAACCCCCAGACCATGATTTAGAGTTTGACAACACTAAGTTTTATTTCAAATCAGCATGGACAGAAGAACAGGGAAGCGGATGCAAATTTCCCGTCAGTTTCCACGCAAACAGACGAAAATTCGAACTAATTCACAAGAGGACCTGCAGCTGGCTGGAAAAAATGTTTGCCAAGTATCTGTTAAGAAAAAAATGATATCGGACACATCAGAATAGAGCATGACTTCGGGCACTCATTCTTAGAGGACACTTGATCCCTCGTTCTTGACGGTGCATTTGTGGTGCTATCTTCCCGTGCCATTCACCGCCCGCTCATGGTCGCGCTTCTCCTTCAGCTTGTTGAAGTACTCGAGGGCGAAGTCCAGTAGATCAGGTGGCTGGTGGAGCAGCACGTTGAGTGTGAACTCGAGTAGAATCTCTCGGAGCTGCGGCGGCGCCGCTTGCAGCTCCAGCCCCATTCGGTCTGTACTGCTGCTGCTCATTGTGGTCCTGGAACGCGGAGGCCGCCGTCGGCGTTTGGATCAGTCAGGTGGACCAGTGGGAACAAAACTGCTTCACTCTCAGCGCTAACATGCAAATGGCCTCACCATCATCGTTATAATGCTGAGAGCGGCTGGCGCTCTCTGATGTCCTTGCGCTCAAAAATCACAAAATACTGCCAATACTCTCTAGCTAAATACAAATAATTTAGAACATCCTCTGGGTAAATATGAGGCGATCGCTTGTCACTGATGCTGTTCGCCCACAAATCATTTTGAAGTGGAAGCAACTGGCATTTATCGCCTTGCAACTGGCTGTACTTACCCTCAAGTGATGTGGAGAAAAGGAAGTATGGATTTTATTGATCAAGTGAATTATAAGTAATACCAGAGTTATCTTATTGTCGCTATAATTTTATTGAGCAGCGTGTAACTTAGAAAATTTCACATGTTTTCGTTAGCCCTTTTGATGAAATTATCAACAAATAGAAATGCGCAAAGCTCAAACGCCTCAAACGTCTTTCCTGTCGTAGTCCTTTTCTGGATCGCGTGCTTCTTACTTCTTCCGTCCTCCGCAGTAGCATTACTGCTACGCTTTATGCTATTCTACCATATGATCTTTCAGTTTCAAGATCCCCTGTGTCTTTTTCATTGGCTCAACTGCATTTGGTATTGTGTTTCGAATGAAATGAGGCATTGCGATAATGACACATATATTGATTCCAGAAAACATGTGATACGTATTGACTTATAAAGCTCGCTTCGTTGTCCTATCAATAGGAGTGTTTCTCATTATTGTATCTGAGTGATGATCAGGGGCACATGATCATGATGATTCATGTAGAATTAACAACCAGCCCATCGCGCACATCCCTAGCACCTCGCCAGCCACTCTCCTTTTCGGTACATCATCCACCTTTTTACGACAAATCTTGCGTAACGCCGAACCTCCCTGTGAGTGATATGCTTCCCTCATTAGTTAGTGGCCCTCTCCATATGACACAAATCCGACCCCTCGCGCTAGCGAGGCAGTTAGCCCGCCCAGAACACCTTCCCACCCGTGACGATCACTGCGAGCGTGACCAGCGCTGCCTGCCCCGCCGCTGGTCGCTGGCCGGCCGTCGCCGTCATCCCGTCTGCCACCCGGACTGCTGGTCGGCGTGGCCGGCCGCTGGTGACCGCTGGTCGCCACGTGACCTCCTCAGGCCACTCGGTGCTCGGTCGAGGTCGACGCCGCGGGGTCGGCCGGCGCCGCGGCGGCCGCGTCCGCCGGGCGGGCGGCGGCGACGGTGGCGTCGTCACGCGGACCGTTTCGTGCACTCTTATGTAGCCCTCTTCCCGAGAGATGGCGTTGCTGGCCACGCAGGTGTACTGGCCCACGTCGCTGGGGTGGAAGTCGCGGATCTGCAGCGCCACGTGCGTTTTGCGGCCGTGGCTGTGGACCTCGCGCATCACGTACTTCTTCCTGCCAGCGGGATCAGATGACGATCAGTCAATGCACATTTCCGACGTGTCGGGGGATGTTCAACCCTATCAGCTTTTCCCACCCCATAATCTCACCCGAGGGCCACCGTTCCTTTGATATCAAAGAAGGGCATTTTTTCTAAGAAAGCAGATATCATTGCACAATATCACATCACTGTACCGCCAGGTACTGTGATATTGTGTGTGATACAGTAAAAAAGAAAATGTGTCTGCAGCCGTTCCGCATGGTAATTGCGTCGGTATTGTGTGACACGTGTGGCGGCTCCTCTACTGATGCCCCGGGCTGGTGTGACATCAGACACAAGTCTATTAGATTGTCTCCGGTACTGACACGCCGTGCTGAGGCGAATCAAATAGTCATCACTCGATTCCTGCCCGTAACGTTCAAGCCTAATCAGCTACATGTAGTACGGATCCTTCGTGCGCGCACGTTTCCCTCTTCCTCGCCCGTTCAAGACCGATATTTTCCGTCTCGTTACGAGTTCCTCTGTGACTCCTAGTTCATTCATCATCTTTCTCCCAACCCTCACACCCCTGTCCCTGGTACGCATCACCCGCAGCCCGTCCACTCGGTCCACTGACCCGTCCATGCGCAGCGGCTGGCCCTCCACTAATCCACTCGGTACACTGACCCATCCACCCCGCCCACTGACCCGTCCACCACGTCCACAACCCGTCCATCCCGTCCACAACCCGTCCACCCCGTCCACTGACCCGTCCACCCCATCCACTGACCCGTCCATGCGCAGCGGCTGGCCTGCCTTGAGCCACAGTGTGGACGGCACCGGGTGTGACTCGATCTGGCACTCGAGGGTGACGTCGGAGCCGCGTGGGGCACTCATCAGCTGGTGGGGCACTCTTACCACCGGAGCAACTGGGGAGGGCACGGGGTCGGTCAGCAACTTCAGCTAATTGGGTGCCCGGCTTTATATTGCGCTTTTCAGTTTTCCGGTTAAATAACTGAATCGTTCTTATTAGTTTTAATTGGCTAAAACAATGCATAGTTACTTATTCCGAGTGCCTTGTTATCTGATTGAGCAAAGTATAAACACTACTCCTCAGAATAAATTCAGGCTCATCCGTACCTTTTTAGCATACATTTGCATGTTGCAGTGCATTGTTGACAAGCCAATTACAAGCCTTTCCGTGATTTCATTTTACTTTTCCGTGCTCATTACTGCTCACTCATCGCATTTCCCTCCATTTTTGCGTAAGCTACATCTGTCGCTGTCCTTACAGGACGGGACTGTAGCACGCCCAGCGGCAGACATTCCGTCCCGCTGGCCTGCACCGCCGGTTGCAGTTACTCACAGGCCACGTTGACCATGATGCGCTTGCTGATGGCCGGCGGTACCTCGTTGTTGGCGATGCAGTAGTAGGCGCCGTCGTGATGCCGACTGACCTTCACCAGACCCAGCCAGGCGCCGCGGTGCACGGCTAGGGAGGTAGTGGACAGGTCACAGACTATCGAGCCGTCAGCCGATCACTGCACTTTGGATTGAAATGAGCTCACAGCTGTTGCGAACGAATTGTATGTATGTTAGAGCCGCAAAATGAGACATCAAATACGTGCACAATGCACATCCCCGCGTCGTTTTTCATTCTATATTCAGTGGCTAATACTCACGTATTTTGACGGGTGGATCGGTGTCAGATAGCAGGATGGGCAGGTCGTCCTCGCGGCGCCAGCTGATGCGAGGCGGCGGGTCACCCTCTGCGCGACAGGTCAAGGTCACGTTCTCGCCGGAACGCACGTTGACGTCCTGGCTGGTGCGGTTGTTGTCGAACGCCGGGGGAACTGCGATGGAAATAGGGGATGTCTTGGAAGCTATAGTTCAGTTCAGCCGCGCATAACGAGTCGCTGTCTCTGCTCACCGACAAACACGCATTAAACTCACGCATTAACAAATTCTACCGGAGGATTAGTGACTCGGCTCTATTCGGAGGAGTTGAACGCTAACGTTAACCTCTACCTCTTGGCATGAATGAACTATTTTTGATAAGACACGAATACAAAATGAATTCCCTTCTAGGGCAAGGGCACAATGAAATTCGGTCATTGTGCCCTTGCAATCTTATTTACTCCGCTTGGCACGTTAGCTCTCCGTTCGGAACCCCAATTTTTTCGGACTTTGCGCCATGAAGACTCTACGACGCCTCTCGCCGCCCCAAACGTACCCTGCACGGTGACGCAGCCGACCTGTTTCTTCATGACTGCCGTGTTGATCTGGCACATGTAGCAGCCGCCGTCTGCCGGCTGGGCGCGCCGCACGTGCAGCGACCAGCCGCGCTGCTGGTCGTGCGTCACCGAGATACGCTGGTTGGTGGTGACGGTGCGCGTGTGTAGGGACAGGATCGTCTGCGTGTCCGCCTTCAGCCAGCCCACCTGAGGGCGACGGTGGACACGTCAGGGCAGCCGGGTGGGCTGGAAGAGTAGGTAGGTTCTGAAGGGTGGTCTGGAGGTGGCTGACCGGGACATTGCAACTGAGAAAGAATACTGAAGGGTGGAGAGTTCGGGTGTAGCATTGTCACTACGTGCAAACGCGACGTTAATAAGAATTTCTTTCGCGTAAAAGAAAACACGAAATGTGAAACACGATATGTGGCGTTAATAGAGAACAAGGAGAGTGAAAGAGAGAGAGAGAGAGAGAGAGAGAGAGAGAGAGAGAGAGAGAGAGAGAGAGAGAGAGAGAGAGAGAGAGAGAGAGAGAGGAGGGAGAGAGAGGCCCGTGACGCGCGACTCACGCGGTACGGTCCGAGGTGTTTGACGGTGCAGGTGAGCACCACCTCCCGGCCCTGGGACACGGTCACGTTCTGCACCTGACCCACGAACATCGGCTCCGGCACGCCCTCGAAGATGTTGAACCCGTGACCTGAGGACACAGCAGTCGAACATGTTATACCCGTGACCTAGAACACAGCAGTCGAACATGGTGAAACCGACTGTGGCGCTAGGAAGCGAACAGGCGAACTTGATGCCTGGAGAGACATCTGAGGTCTCATATGCAAAAAAAAAACAACAAGAAAAACGCTTTACTCGTATTTGGACATTACGCAACAAGAGCCGTTCTATGACATCGAAGTATGACATGACATCGAAATCCGTAGATATGCCCCCGAAGTTGCCTTTAGCACCCTTGCATGTAATGAAATGATGTTGAAAACTGGTTACACAGAACTGCTAGCACACGGCCTAGGGATGCAAATGACAGGCGAAGTTACTACCAAAGTTGTTTTCAAGAAAAAAAAAAACGAAGTAGTGCTGGTGAACATGCTCTTTTTGCGAGCCGACACTTGCGGCACTCTGGCTAACATTGTCATCATGCCATTGTAGTAATTGTTTCCCGCGCTTACAACGTGTCTCAAAGGACCGGTACGGCAGGCGTGAGAATCCCTTATGGCCCATTTTCTGAAACTCGTTTCTCTTCTGGACAATATTTGACTGCTGCCGGTCGTCGACCAGCCTCTGTCGTGTTCTGTAAGTAGTTTCGTGTCACGAACCTCGAGAATCTTTTGAGTAATAACAGCGGGAAGTCAAAGCTCGCTTCGCGAATGTGGACAACGCGACAATATCCCGTCTACAATTGATGGCATGTATGAAACAGTAGTCTGAATACCCTGCGTATTCCAAACAGAAGTTTTTACAAACCACACGCAGAATGCAACTAAGTAGCTTAGTACTTTATATCTATGCTTAGTACGATCGTCCCCAGTTTCATTTCGACGAGCCTGCCACAGAGATAGCCAATGGGGTCTCCCGAAGCTGTGCGGCACAGCATAACTTCAGGCGCTTTACCGCTACTGCCATCTAGCGAGCGATTGAAAAGTCGTGCGGCACAGCATAACTTCAGGCGCTTATCACTGCTGCCATCTAGCGAGAGAACGACAAGTCGTGCGGCACAGCATAACTTCAGGCGCTAATCACTCCTGCCATCTAGTGGGCAATCGAGAAGTAGTTATTGCGGTACAGCATATGTGCATGTGCTAATCGTTACTACCATCTAGCGAGAGGACGGAGTCATGCGACACAGCATAACTCCAGGCGCTCGACACTCTTGCCGTCAAGCGAAACAGCGGCCAGTCACGCGGCACAGCATAACTTCAGGCGCTCAACGCTTGCCGCCTAGCGAAACAGCGGCAAGAAATGCCGCTCCCCCGACACTTTCTCCATCAACCAAGG